TATTTATGTATGTTATTTCCTGCTTTGAGCAAAGCTTGTGTTAGTGGTAAACTTGATTGTGTTATATGTTCTCTATCAAAATATTTCGGACCAGTTATATTCCTCGCATGCACTAGTCACCCAAACCATTTGACCTAATACATTCGGATATTTGGATACCTTCTCCTGTTACTGCTCTGTCAGGTGTCCGATACTATGTGACATTTATAGATGACCATTCCCGTTGTACTTGGGTCTACCTTTTGCATAGGAAGTCTGATGTAGTCCCTGTCATTACTCACTTTCTTCAGATGATTAAGACACAGTTTGATGTCATTATTCGTGCTCTTCGTTCGGATAATGCGCCAAAGAATATGTGTCTGATGCCTTAGTGTCTCACCTTTCTTTTCAAGGTATCCTTCAGCAGCTCACTTGTCCATATACTCTTAAGCAAAATGGAGTTACTGAAAGGAAAAATAAGTGTCTGATAAAGATGGTACGTTATATGCTTAGAGGTATGGGGGTACCAAAATCTTATTGGCATTTTACTGTTTTGACTTTTACCTTTTTGTGCAATCCTACACCGAGTCATGTTCTTCAACATAGGGCTCCCTTACGGGTCTTATTCCCTTAGCAGACACTTTTTTCGGTCCCCTCTCGTGTTTTTGGCTGCACATATTTTGTTCAGGATCGGTTTCCTACTCGTCATAAGCTTGATGATAAAGCGATTCGTTGTGTCTTTGTGGGCTATTGTCATCAGTCTAAGGGGTATCGGTGTTATGATCCTGTCAGGCGACGTATGTATCACAGTTTAGATGTTACATTCCTTAAGCATATTCCTTATTTTTCTTCCAATCCTGTGTCTGCCCCTTCAGTTGATAATACTCCATTTGATTTTCCATTACCACCTGAGTTAGAGCCATTAGTCACTATCACTACAGAGTCATCGGTCTCTCCTCCTTCAGAGCCATTCATCCCTGTTAGTACAGAGTCACTAGTCTCTCTTCCTTTACAGGTTTATGTTCGTCGTCCTCGCTCTCATCCCCCTGCTGATGTCCCCTCTACCTCAGGCGATGCAGGTAATATTGCTTAGTTCGTTGAGCATATTGATGCACCTGTTGTTAGTACTAATGAGATTGCAGGTACTGAACCAGTTGTTTTACCTGATGAGACATTATCAGTGGAGGATGATGATTTAGGGCGTCGTTATCCGCGGCGTGATCGTCCTCCAGTTGTTCGTTATGATTGGACCGCTAGGATTTTGTATCCGATCTCTGCTTATGTTTCTTATGGTGATTTGTCTCCTACATTTCAAGCTTATAGTATGATCTTATCAGATACATTGGTTCTTCGCTCTGTTTCAGAGGCTATGCGGGAGCCCTAGTGAGTTCTTGCTATGCAGACAGAGATGGACGCTCTTCAGCGTAATCATACGTAAGATCTTGTCTCTTTACCTTCAGGGGTGAAGCCTGTTGGCTATCGCTGAATTTACATCATGAAGTTTCTTGCAGATGGTACCATTGATCGTCACAAGGTTAGGCTTGTAGCGAAGGGCTTTACTCAGGTACCAGATCGTGATTTTATTGCTACCTTTGCCTCCGTAGCAAAATTGACTACTGTTCGACTGATTATTTCTCTGACTGCGGAATACTCTTAGCCTCTTCATCAGTTAGATGTGAAGAATGCATTTTTTCACGGTGATCTGGACGAGATTATTTATATGGATACGCCCACCGGGCTTTCGTGGTGAGGGGGAATATGCTAGAAAGGTTTGTCGATTGCGTAAGTCTCTTTATGGATTGAAACAGTCACCACGAGCCTGATTCTCTCATTTTAGTGATGTAGTTGTACGTTTAGCGTTCACCAGATGTCATTCTGATTATACCTGTTTCATTCGATGGAATACTTTCAGACAGTGTGTCATCCTTTTGGTATATGTTGATGATATTATAATTACTAGAGATGATGTTTCTGGGACTGTGCAGGTTAAGGTAGACCTTGGGAAGACCTTCGATGTGAAGGATCTTGGATTTTTGCTGTACTTTCTTGGGATTGAGGTTGCCTGTAGTAGTAGAGGCATTGTTCTTTCTCAAAGAAAGTATGTTCTAGATCTTCTCTCAGACACTAGGATGCTGGGGTACAAACCGGCATCATCACCCATGATTCCAAACCTGAAGCTTACTGTTGAAGGTGAGGAGTTGGGAGATCCGACAGTCTATCAGAGGTTGGTAGGTAAACTTATCTACCTAGCCAACACTAGGCTAGACATTTCATTTGCTGTCAGCCAAGTTAGTCAATTCATACACAGACCATGTCAACCTTATTTTGATGCAGTTTATCATATTCTTCGGTACCTCAAGTCTTGTCTTGGATTTGAGTTGTTCTATACATCAAGATTTCAGATTGGTTCTCTAGCATGTTATTCAGATTCAAATTATGGGGGAGCATGTGCCGGTTGATCTACTACGGGTTTCTGTGCTTTTTGGGGGACTCATCTTATCTCTTGGAAGAGCAAGAAACAGTCAGTTGTCTCTCACTCGTCAGCAGAGGCAGAGTATTTGACACTGACACGGACACTTGGCACATGTGAGATTATCTGGCTACGATCAATTCTTGGCGAGTTAGGACTTTTAGTGACTTCTTCATCTATATTATATTGTGATAATCGATCTGCTATTCAACTCGTTTTTGACTCTGTATTACACAAGATGATGAAGCATATAGAGATCGATATTCACTTTCTTCGGGAGAGAGTTAGCAGTGGTATTGTCACTCCATCGTTTTGTGGGAACTAGTGATCAGGTTGCAGATGTTTTTACCAAACCTGTCACTCTATCTATTCCTCGGGACTCAATTGTCAAGCTTGACTTAGTTGACATTTTTACGCCTAACTTGAGGGGGAGTGTTGGAGATATAACAGCTTAGTTTATTAGGGTTTATTAAATTTTTCCTTTTTTTTTTATTCTTATTGTAACTTTTATTGACTATGTATACGGGGGCTCTATACTTAGTTTGTATCCCTTTTTCACTCACATTTATTTCAACTATTAGTAAAAGGGTATCAGTCACATAATTATGTGTCTCAATCCTTCATATGTTCTATAGAGGACATGGAGTTGTCAGTCACATAAACAAGTCATCATGTCGTATAATTTATTTAATAAACAAATCGTGTTCAATTTGTAGATTTTTACTCATTTAATTAAACGAATCGTTTACAATTTAAATAGTTTTTTTTTAGACACGAACCGCTTAATCAGTATTTTTAGATCCCCTACAAAGGGTAAATCATACTTTGCCACTTTAATTTAGGATCTAGTTTCAAATGCAGCCACAATGTTTCAAGTTTAATAAATTGTCCCCTAAAGTTCTATGCTTTGGCCCCCCTTTAGGGACAAATTGTATTTTCCAGAAAAATAAAAATATAGATTTGTTTTTTAAAATCACAATATCCCAAACACCAATAGCTCACAAGACTAAGTTTAAATTGTAGAGTTTCAACGGAATCATAACTCTAACTTGATAAGAGTTTCAATCAACTTGTAATTATCTAATAATAAAAACAAATCAACTTGTAATTATCCGGTGAGTTAATTGCTAAAATTAATTTAAATCCTCTTGGCAACTTAAGTTTTTTATTTAAATCTTAATTTAAATTCGAATGTAAATTTGAGTAGAGATTGAAAATAAGGTTTTTTGCATTTTACACTATGAGAGATTTCAAATTTTCATTTTACGTTCTTAAAAATTAAATTTTTTACATCACATTCTCTATATATCAAAAGTATTACAATATAGTCATTTTGTTAATTTTCGTTATTATTTTTTCCATCAAAAGTCAATTATTGACATTGATGAAAAACTAACAAAAAGATTGTATTACAAAGGATTAATCACAAATTACATCCCGAAAGAATTCTCTAATCTCAATTTTTATCCTCAAAGATAAAAAAATTTCAATTTGCACTCTCAAAGATATAAATCTGTATCAAATGTGCACCTGAAGCTAACAACCGTTCAATTTGTGGTCTAAAACTAAAAAGGTAAATTACACTTAGATCTTCTCATGTTTGTCACTTAATTATCTGAACCTCTCACATTTGAAATATTACACATGCACCCCTTGAGAATCCAAATATGACTAAAAATGTTCCCTTAATGCATCCAAATAATTCTGTTCAAGTGATATATTTATTGGATATAAAGAATATTATATAATACCAGTACTTTTTGAACATTTTATAATACCTATATCGCATTGAGCATTTAAAAGGTAAACTTGATTTTAAATTTTAGAGTACAACATGCCCACAAAAATACAATAGACCCACAAAATAAAAGATAATATAAAAATTATTATTGTTTAATAGGATGACATCACGTTTTTTTACGGTTACATTAATGGATATTGACGAAAGATGATTATGTGTTATAGACGCACAAACGTCCGAGGCGTAAGTATAATATTCTAAATATAAGGGGTTTAGTAATTAAATGACAAATTTAAGAGGTTCTAGGTATAATTTACCTATTTAATTTTAGACAATAACCACTCTTAACTTCAAATGCACATTAATACAATTTTATATTTTTAAGGGTGTAAATTAAATTTTTTGATATTTGAAAACACAAATTGATATTTGGGAGATCTTTTGACATACAATTTATGGTTAATCCTATTATAAATTTATAATATATTAAAAATATTTCAAAGTATAAAATGAGAAACTTAAAATAAATTCAGAAAAAGATTCCTTAAGTTGGTTTAGTTTTCCTGACAAAAAATACAAAAAATATAAGTTGAAGTAGAACTAACCCACTTCCCTCTCTCTATATATTAACTTTCCAATCACCTGGTCGGTTAATATTCAACACTCACCAATAGCGCGTGAAGTTCCTTCCCATAGACTTGCCACTTCTTCAGTCCTATACGCCTACGATTCTTCTTCATCTTCGTCACAAAGTCAAAGAACAATCGTCTCTCTCCGTTCAAACTCCGGTGACTCTGTTTCAACGCAACAATGAACTCTGCATCAACTCTGCTTTCATGTGCCATCGTGTTCACAATCGTCGCCCGAACTCTCGCCACCACTGACTCCGCCTACCCCTCCCCCTACGGTGTTGAAACAACCACGACCGCCTGTAACCCCTACGCCATCGCCGACGATGGTCTTGTACCTGTTCGTAAAGAAGTATACGATAAAGGTCGAATCTTCGATATCAGTCATCGGTATCACCCGAATATGCCATCTTGGGAATCGGAAGACGGTGTCGGCCAGTTCTTGTGGCTTCCGAAGAGTATGAAGAATGGATCACTCGCGAATAATTCGGAGATGAAGCTTCCGACTCACACCGGCACTCACGTTGACGCGCCGGGCCATGTTTTCGATCACTACTTCGACGCCGGCTTCGATGTCGATACTCTCGACCTTGAAGTACTCAACGGTAAGTGCTTAATTGCTTATACTAGGTCTTATTTGCGTGCGTGTGCGTGCCTGCCAAGTGTTTGATGAAAAGTCGTTTGATTTTTTGGGGTGTGTTATATTTGTGTATATGTTGAGTTCTTGTGATTGATATCGTGAAGATTGGAATATGGATTACCAGTGTAGAGTGTTTATGGGTTGGATTGGTATTATGGTATTTTTAAATCAACTTTTACCGATTTATCCAGTCTTTCTTGCAGAGTGGAACATTAATGTAAAGTGGAGCTTTAAAAGATGTCCTTATGGACACTCCTGTAAAATATCTTCCAAAAGATAGTCTTTTTTCATTCTGGCTCGGGATTTCCTTTTCAATTCTTTGCATATGTTCACGTGTAAATGTTTATTTTTTCTTTCATCTTTTTTTTTTTTTGGGGTGGGGGGGGGGGGGGGGGTTTGGGTAGTTCAATGGAATCATATCAGTTCCTAACAACTGAAAAAAGTTGTTTAATGTTTAATTTTACTTTTTGATATTTTTACTGAGTTTGTTTTAAATAGTTCAAATATCAATCATAGGCAGTTGTTTTTTGCCTGTGAATGCCTAAGCAGTTGTTAACTTGTCATTCGAAAGAGCATTTTTTTGATGTCCTAATAGCATTAACCTAAGCAGCAAGAGATGCTCTTCAATTATGACCACTGTCCCCTAAGATTCAGTGGTTAGAGCAAATTGGTCATCTGTTTAAAGCACACTGCTTTGTGCCTTGAAACTGAAGGAATGTTTTTTCAGGACCTTTGCTATTATGAAAACCAACTTCTAGTGTTTTTAGGGGTTAATTCTTGTTGAATGTTTTACTTTTCTGTTTTTTTTTTTGGTGATGCCTTAGTTTTCTTTTCTTCCTTGTCATCCAACTTCCTCTTTGTTTTCTCTCTTCCGATTGATCTTTATGACTTATGTCTGCATGACATTTTGCTCATAGTGTGACTTGATTACTTATGAAAAGAAGTTATGATTTGTTCATTTATGCTTCTCTCTGCGTTCTTACTAATCTTTTGCTTGTTTCAACAGGTGCTGCGTTGTTAGTTGATGTTCCAAGGGACAAGAATATAACTGGTACCATTTCTAATATGTTTTTACACACTTGACTGGATATTTTTTTTGGCTTTCCATGTTGATAAATCTTGTTTAGTTTCCATGTTTATTATCGTTAATTAAAAATTTCAATCTGTAATGCCAATCTTTCACAATTGTTTGGTTCTAATAACTATTTGATCGAAACTGTAATGTCATATTAGGGTTATACTACATTATAAAGAAGGCACATCAATATTAGCTGAGTGTAAGGAACTGTTGTAGATTCAGGCTTGATTCTAAAGGTTTTCTGGATTATGAATTAGTTCATGGTTGTACTATGTTTCTTTTTGGCTTCATGATAGCATATTTTTAGGACTATGTTGTTTCTATTTACTAGACTTCCCTCATTGTTGGTCTGCGTTACCATGAAGCACAGAAATATCATAATTATTTGATTTGGTGTAAACTTCCCTAGTGAAAGCCTAGGTAGTAGGCATCCATGTCGGTCTTGTTTGAGTCACTGATGCAACAAATGATTAGCTTTAAACAATATTTTGTGCATTTAATGGGGAATGATGCTACCACCCTTGACTTGTTACATTTTGAAGTGAATAATTATCCTGTGCTGCGACTTTGAGCCCTTTAAAGGGATAAAATTGTGTTGAATCTATTGTTAAGGAAAATTATATACATCTGAAATAAAGTCAGATATATCTTAGATAAAAAATCAGGAATGCTGGACAGTAGGTTACTCTCTAAACCAGTGTTCTAAAGACTATTGATTAAAACAGTGGCTGTGGTAGGATATTTTGATTATATACTAGGGAGTTATTATACTGAGTTGTAGAGGTTATAAAAATCCTAAAACTTCTATAATTCTAGTCTCTTTAAAAATTGAGAAGTTACGAACTTTTTAGTTTAACACCACATTTTTTTATGGGATAGGTCCTTGTTGAGATGAGTTAAATATTTCTTTCTGGTTTTGTTATTGGATCAACAGATGGAAGTTAATTACGTCTCCAGTTTGGTCAATCGTATTGGATATGAATGTTGAAAAAACTTTTTATGAAATCAGTCTAGAATGATTATATACACTAGAGCTTCAGGCCTTGAAGTTTCTCTCGGATACTTTGAGTTGCTCGTTCTAAAAGCTTGCATGAGGTAGTTTGATCTCCTAAGGATATAAAGGTTTAGAATTTGGATGGTGATTGAAGTGAATACTGCTCCTCCAGAACAAGCATGCCTCCATCTGCTTGAAGTGAATATTATCCATTAGTCTCACATTGCATGCCTCCATCTGGTTTTCTCTTGGTATTGCTTTGTGCATATTATATGACTCTATCTACTTCTTTCAGCTGAAGTTATGAAGTCTTTGAGTATACCCAAGGGAGTGAGGCGTGTTCTTTTCAGAACATTAAACACTGACAGGTAATACCCTATTGCTGAATAACCATAGTCGTGACCATGTTGAAATTACTGTTTTGGAGGAGGTCAAAGTTTTTTATGCATAGTATCAGTCATCAGTCATGCTTGTTTGAAGGAAATTGTTAAATTAACATTTGGTATCACTTGTTAAAAAAGTGATTCAGTTTCTTCTAGTTAAGAGCTACCACTACCACCGGTTAATTAAGTCTCTATTTTCATCAATTCCCTTAAAAATGTGATTCAGCTGCTGTAACACCACTTTGGTTCAAAGCTCAGAAAATTTTGCTGAATCTGGACAGTAGTCTTATTTGAGGACGCTCCACGTTACCTGAATTTTTTCTATTTTCAGGCGTCTCATGTATACAAAGGAGTTTGACACAAGCTATGTTGGATTCATGAAGGATGGGGCACAGTGGCTGGTGGATAACACTGACGTCAAACTTGTAGGTAAGACAGACTATTATTTATTTAATTGGTTTGAAAGCATAAGAAGGTGATACGATTGGATTCTTATTTGCTGCATGAGGCTTCTCAAAAGAATTATATGATATATAAAGCACCAACCATGTCCTTGTTGCTAGCTCAGCTGTGTGATTGGTACTTGACTGTGGACTCTATCGTTGATACCTCGACTCTTCTTTGCACAACTGTTTTCGTTGTGAAGCTTTCAGTGTGAATTAACTCATTCATTGTGCCTGCACTCGCTGTTCTTTCTTGCTTTGGATTGGTCATGTCTAAAAAATTTCTCAGGTCTGTCCCAATTGGTGGTACCTCTAACTTTTCACAAGTTGTCACTTTTGATTCTCCCTATTTCTTGCCTTGACATGTGTGCTTTTCAACATCTTTGATTTACTGGTTTTTTTTTCTTGGGACATTTTATATGTCTCCCACTCCTTAAGCCAACTGTTGTCTCTTCTCTTGCTCATTCCAAATAGTCCTGAGAAGATCTTATCCAGAAAGAGTTTCTCTGTTATGATTCCAGTCTTGTGTTTCCTTCAATATCTGCTTGTGAAAGAGTGCAACAAGAGAATTTTTTTTTGTTTTCCATATAATGCCATTCTTTCATTAGGATTTTGTTGAATAGCTACAAGTATGAGATGTTTCAATTTTACTTCAACGTAGTCATTGCCTTTTAACACCACTTACGATGCAATACTAACTAAATGGGAATTTTATCCGCACAACATATTGTGTTGAAGAATGGTGGTCGCGAAAGTTATTCAAAAAAAAAACAAAAAACAAAAGATATAGTGCTAGGTCCCACATTAGTCACTAGCAAATCTGGATGCTCACAGGGTCTATTAACGTCTTCATGTAGTCATATGTAAAGTTCAGTTTAGTGAGGAATTGATTAAATTGGGGAAAACATATCCTAGATCTGGATGCTGACATGGTCTATTGACCGTCTTCAAGTAATATGTAATTCCAGTTTAGAGAGGAATTCATTAAATTGGGGAAACCATATCGAAGACTGTCTGAAAATCTATTTTGCCCTCATTTTATTTGGCACCCAGACTGTTGCTCTTGGTTCTATTGGTACTTTACTCAGTAGTCACTATTAAACTAATCGGGTAAAAAAAGAAATCTAATAGTCTTTTCATTGGTCCACGCTGATGGTAAAGGGCATGTAAGTGCAACCACAGCTTCTCTAGCTGCCTGGTGAGTTTGGGAACTAGGGAGCATGAGTAAAATTTTGTTGCGTAACAGTTTTTGGGAAGTTTTGAAGTGGGAAGAGATGGAGTGTTTGGGCATCTGCCAATATCCAGAAACAACTGATCATATTGTGGACCTAGGAGTTTGAAGGTCCCTTGATTCAGCATATTGACCAAGCCTAGACATTTCAATGTGGCTCTAAGCTAATATCAACATCCGGGCCTAAGGTCAATCTTTTCAAAACATGTCTTGAGGTGCATAAAAAAGGAATGCAAAACAAAAAGACAAGAAACCTTTTTGGCATTACTTTAAAGCCATAATGTAGGTTGAAATTGGCTAAATTTCTAGTGCAAGAACTGATATTAGTTGCAGAAGACAATACATTCAGTGCAAAGTAAAGACCAAAATACCTCGGTCAACAGTGTCATGAATGAGTTAAGTTGATGCAGGAAGATCAAGAATTGGATTCTCCAACGGCACTCTAGGATGTAGGGTGGGTTTGTGCCCTAAAGAAGTTCAAAATTCTTTTATCCACTCAGGCAGCAACAAATTTGGTGATTTAATTCTTGTAAAGTTAGCCTTATATATGTTTTAAATTCATTTAAGAATAATACTCTTTTATTCCATTGTGGCTATTAACATCTACTTGTATTTGCTTTGTAAATGCATGATTCATGGTAACCTTGATACATTTGTTCTTCATTGTAGGGATTGATTACTTATCTGTTGCCGCATTTGCTGATTTGATCCCAGCTCATCTTGTCTTTCTAGAAGGCCGGGTAAGGAAATCTATCTCACATTAGTCGTTGGATTTTCTGTAATGCTTTTGGCAACTGTATTCAAATTCTGCCTTGAAATAATTCTTTTACTTGTTCTAAGTTTTTATTTTACATTTTTGCCTGTGTTTCACAATGAATACGAGTACTGACTTTTGTCTGTCTCGTTTCAGATATAGAATAATTCATTGGATATGGGGTTTAGTATCAGTCCTAACACTGATGAAACTTTTCAGGAAATCATTCTTGTGGAAGGCCTGAAACTTGATGACATCCAACCAGGAGTATACACTGTCCATTGCTTACCTCTAAGGTTGCTTGGTGCTGAGGGATCACCTATAAGATGCATCCTTATTAAGTGATATTTTCCTTGTGTAAGTTTTCCATTATCAGCGATATGTTGGTCAAGTCCACATTTTTATTGTTTTCCTAGCAGCATATTCACTAAATTTTCTTCCCATGTTTTTGTTATGTGCTTCATGTTTGCCGCTTTGAAGAAGAATGTCCAATATTGATTTGAATGGCAAAACATAGTCTCCTTGCTTATCTTGTCCGCTGATGCATACTTGCAAAACTGCTGCAGGTAAATGATGACTTCATGAGGTTTTGTGTGGAATAACTTGTTTTAAAGGCTTGCTCGTAGACTTATTGTGCCTCGTAGCTGTTCTGTACAGGTGCTCACATAAATCAAACCCGTGGATAGGCGCATTCTCCACAACAGTGGAAATACTTGTTTGGCACAGTTATTTAAATATCGTGGTTAGACACTTTTTTTTCTTCTAAACATTGTAGGTAGATTGATGAATGTGTGATCTATTGCCAGCAACCTCTCTCTTCATACTTTTTCTCTACATAAATTGAACAAAGAAAACCTCTATGTATTCTGGTGGAATTGTGTATAGTAGTGTTTTGCTAAGGTGCCACGTATTGGCAAATGGCTTGTAGGCCAACCGTTCTCATTCTGGCCGTTTTTAGTTGATGGTGCTCGAAATTACCGGACTTGGGTTGCAATCGGGTGAGGCCCAATGTGTGTGTGATCGCTTAAGTGGGTGTGCGTGGGAGTGTATGTTGTAAATGAACAATGGGGAGAAGACATGAGTTAAGTGGTTCGACTTGCCAAAAGACTAAGGTTACGTCCACTGTAAGGAAAACTCTTGCTCTTTGGGGTATTGTATTACTTGGGAAGATGGAGACGGTTATAAGGAGTGAGGCTTGAAGCCGCTACAAGATATCACTTGACTCTCTCTCACTTGCTTACGGGGTATTCTTTTACGTCCACTGTAGCACTCCCAGTTATTTATACTATTGATAGCTAAGGTTTCACATTCGTCCTTCTTAGTTGAACCTGTGGCCCCCTTTGTATCCGTTTCCACCTTAACACTGTAGTCCCAACATTTCTGATTTCACTATCTGTAGACTGTTGTCTTTAATCCATTTCTACTACTTGTGAGTTATTGTTCATCAAAGTCGCTTGACTGTGTTCCCTTGTTCGTGGACGTGTGTACCTTTGCAATTTTTTAGGTTGACCTTGCTCTGGGTAATCGTGTCTTTAGCTCTTATGTGCCGATCCCATTCAACTGGAGCTTTCCTTGGTCACGTCTTGACTTTGTGATGTGTCCCACTTCGAGCCCAGGGGATATTTCTTGGATGGGCTTCTTGGGCTGCTATTTGTGGGCTCGGAGGGTCTTGGGATCACAAATGCCCGAACTTAAACTGTTAAGTCTGACAATTATCAGTAGTGTCCAACCCCATAATATCTCTCAACATCCAAATTATCTTCATAAAAACTGACTCAAATCCAGTAGCGAGGTGAAATCCCTTTTGTTTGTAAGCACAGTTAGTTCCTTTCTTCTGATGATGTGATTCACAAAAAGATTAGCATTGGGACTTATTCTGAATCGAGTCAATTGGATTGGACAATGGCCGTCAGTTGTTACCAAACACTACCAGGTTATAGCTTAAACAAGTCAAAATTAAGATTGATGACACCCAAAATTTATTGAAACGATTAATTTCAACGACTTACTAACTTAATTTGTATTAGTTTATAATATAATTTGACTATAACATATAGGAAATCAGGATAAATTACATCTAGACCTTTTGAGATTGTCATTAAAACACACAAACCTCCTCAGGTATGACATATTACACTAACACCTCCTATCAGTAATTGACAACTAACCCACCTAACAAAAGTTATGAAATGATTATTTTGCCCTTCTTCCAAAATCAAAAATATCTTGCCTAACCCAAACTCAAACCCAAATTCTTTCGTCATCGTAATTTCTCTTTTCTTGTGCGCTTACACCACCGACGAGTTCCACCCACATATTATCTCTCTTTCTCTCTCTCTCACATACACAACTCTCTCTCTAATTTCTATCAACTGCTTTCATCCCCTTCTCTAGTTTTTCAACACCATCGACACTTTCACCCACATATTCTCTCTCCCCTCGTCGGTGGGTGTGTTTAAAGATTAGATGAGGTGCAGAGGATAAAGAAAAATGGGTTCTCTATCTCTCTACCCTCATCTTCTATCAAGCAACAATTGGAAGTTCAATTCCTCCAAAACCACATTCTCTCTCTCTCTCCCCCCCCCAGTGCAATCATCCCCACTCATCTAAGCACCCAACCATCCAAAATCTTGTTTATTTTAAAGAAATATTATTATTGATTATGAATTGGTTAAATAATTAGGTAGATAATTGACATGGAATTAAGTAGATTGGTATTAATTAGTTTAATAAGGGTATTTTGAGAATTTGTTGCTAAAATATGAAGACGTGATCAACTTTTAACGCAAATGAATCTTAACCTTAGGGATGCATGTATTACACACGTACAAACTTAAAGGGTGTTAATGTAATATGTTATACTTGAGAGGGGTCTATGTGTCTTAATGACAAAGTTCAGGGGTTCTAGATGTAATTTATCCTACCCTAAAAATAGCTTTGAAATTCTATATCCCTCCAAGAGGTCATAATGGAGGTTGGCCACCTACTCTGTCACAAGATACCCAAATCTTTGTCTGAAGGAGCAGACATGCTTCCAAGATGGCAGCCAATCACAGATTTGGGACATGTCCTGACTCTTGAAAACATCTAAACTTGTATTGTTTTTCCCTATGACCACATCAAAAGGGACTCTTGAGGCCTGAAATGAAACCTGAAAGGCTAAGAAGCCATCAGTTTTATCCCCTTAAGAAGAAAAGGTTGAGAATATAGAGAGTAGTGATCTGAGACGCATCTGCCCATTTTCATTTATCAACCTAAGGACCACCTACCCATCGCACTGGACTTGCTATTAATTCCTCTTTGAATGCTTCTAGGCTGTTTCTCTTCTAAACATTACACATCTCAGTGTGGGGTAAGCATATTTGTAGGCACACCCGTGGGTATTGATTAGGGGACCCACTTGGAGATTTTTGGAATGTAAACATTCATTGGATAAGAAATGATTTCAAGATGGTCAATAGATAGGTATACCTATTTATTTATTTTTTCAACGGTTAGAGATGTCAGGTTTAGTTTATGCGCATTTTAATTAATCTTCTTCTCAGTTTGGTCAAAGTCAAATGTCATTTACGTTAGGACTAGGGAATTCATGAGAGATAAATCTCTTATGACCTAATCCCACGATTCGAACTCAAGACATTTGAATTTACAACTAATTTTTGTTACTACTTGAACTACTTTGGAGGTGAAATACCTATATTTGACATAGAACGAATACACGACAAGAAATTGAGTGCATTGGTTTAAGATTAATTAATCAATACTTGATGTTAACTTGAAATAACCCAATCCCTCCACACAAATCATAAACAGTTAATCTTGAAGACGATTCCCCTAATTTTAAGCATTTCTTATTTAGGCAACCATTGAAATCGAAACAAGAATAAGACAATGCTAGAGCTTGGTTTTGGCCATGGATAATCTAGAACATGACTGCATGGTTGTGGGAAGATGTAGTAAACATATAAAGTGAACTATTTTGCGCTCTTTGATTGGTTAGTTCGAATCGGTAGATCTGAGATTATTATATTGATAAATCAAATTTGAGCTCTCCTTGTGCGATATGTTTGGTTTAGCGGGTGATTGTATGCATTCAATATTTACATTGTAATCAGACGTCCGAATGATGTAGGGTTGAATACCAAAATTACACTCTTGAAAGGACATATTTTGTTATTGTTGAGGACTAAAGTGTACAATTTTAAACTTCATTTGTTGCTGGGGCCAAATGGTTTATATTTTTGTCACTGCACCAGATAGTGACCTCTTTTGATACCTCTTGCATGGTATATATCAACAATAACTGTTAGCAGAAGAGGAGGAATTGGTACCATTATTTGAGTCACGCAGTGGATGTGCACTGCAGGCAAATTGGCTGGTTTATGGGGCCTTCTATCTCTGGAGGGCCACTGATACAGAGGTGATGGTGCTGCTGCTTCAAGGAACCCCCACCCCTATTCTTGGGGCCATATGAATTTGGGGTGCTTTTTAAGTGAGACCGTAAGGGTAGTTTAAGTGGTAATAAAAACGAATTGTAAACTTAGATGTTTTGAGTTCAGATTTTGACAACCCCTTAAGACTAGACTATGAGTAGCGATGTTAATCAAACCGAGCTATTCGAGCTTGGTTTGGGTTCAACTCGTTTAGAATTTGAACAATTCTTTATGCATGTTTGGAAAACGAGCCCGACAAATTCGGCTCAGATTCGACAAGCTCGACTCGTTTATGTGTAAATACTTGGGCTCGGCTTGTTTTGAACCCGGTCAAGCTCGACTCGTTTATTAAATGAGCCAAACTTAAATAATTTTTTAAGCTCGGTAAAGAACATAAGTTTTTTACTCTTGGCTTGAATTCGTTCGACTATCAGCCCTTGCCATGAGTAAGGGTATTAATCAAGACGAGTTATTCGGGCTCGCCTCAGATAAGACTCGACTTAAGCTCAACTCGTATTCTAAACGATTTGAGTTTGAACAATTTTTTAGGCTTGTTTTTTTAACTTATGCTTACAAAATCAGACTTGTTTATATTTATAACAATCGAGCTAATTGGGCTTGGGCTCGGCTCGAGTTCTAGACAAGTCAAGCTTAAACAATTTTTTAGGTTCGTCTAGAAAAATAAGCTCGACAAACTTGGGTTTAACTCGCAAAGCTCGACTTGATTAACACCCCTAGCCATGACGTAGATGACTTTCATTTAACCAGACCAGAAATAGAATTAATTGAAAGTGTATGTAAGGCCAAAATACTCCTGACTGTTGAACCAAAAAATTTTACTTTAATGGATTCCTTATTAATACATGGTACGTGATATAGCAGCAACGAGGGAAATAAAGAAAAAAATATTGGAGGGAATTTGAATCCGAGCCACCCATATTGGTAGGGATGTTCCTGTGGCAACTGGCAAGTGTTATAAATATTCAACCTGTAAATTTCTAGTTGTGAAAAAGGGTCACAATTACTAGTTGAAAACCAACTGGATGGAAAACCTGTTTCCAAGTTCCATTGAGTGTGTGTAGGTAGGAGTGATTTGAACAGAATCTACAATGCCTTGTGTGTTTTTACTTAGGTGACATACATTTTTAATGGAGTTAAAGAATTGTCTCAACCACGGTATCTTTGAATTAGTTGTTGTTATACAAATTTGAATTTTTTTTTTTTTAAACTTACAACTTTTCCTAGTTACTGTTATCGCTTCCGCTATTATTTCCAAAGTTTGGGGAGAAGTATTTTTCATAATGAGAATTAGTTCTTACTTCCCACTCCCATTATCATTTGTCATGATAAAACTTATTTTCAAATATGCAATTTTAACTTGAGGGGTAGGGTCAAGTGGTAACATAGAGAGTTTTAAGTTCAGACTTCTTGAATTTAAATTTTGACAATTCCTTGAGGTCAGGTCATGAGAGATTTATCCCTTATAAATATCCTAATCCGGCATAGATGATCTACGTTTGTCCGGACAGGAGAAGAGATTAGTTAAGATACGCGTAAACTGATTCAGATACCTCTGATTATTGAACACAAAAAAATGCAATTTTGAGCCACATTATGGGTGACAATATTCTACACCCTCCAACTAAATGTGAATTGTGAATTTTGATTTATGAGTAATCTTTGTATGGTGTATTTGATTGTGAGAGAAAGGAACTTCAAATCTATTCCCGGTTTGTAAATAACACCATGATTATAACAACTCAAAATGATACGATTCCAATATGACATATAATGATACCTTTTAATGACAATACTACACAACTCCATTATCATCCTCACTTGGAGTTGACTCAGGGCCATCACACAAGAGCTGAATTATTGGAAAATTAAACACCAAGGACCATCAGAATAACTGAACAGATTTTGAAAACTGGCATTGGGAAGAAAAAGAAGCATTGCTGAGAGGACATTTGCTGAGAGAGGCCCATATGGGACCATGCTTTCTCTGTCATTTCAGCTTTACAGCTGCAAGCAGGAAAAGAGAGTAAGAAAATTGCAAAGAGGTGTTTTACTTTCTGGTCTTAGAGATTTGATTTTGAATTCATGTGCTTTATTAATGAAACAATAACAAGGGAGGAGAGAGAGAGAGAGAGAGAGAGAGAGAGAGAGACCAGGTCAACAGCAAGTTCTATTGGTTTAAGATCATCAAGCCAAAGCTCCAGGCCATCATATTATTCTACAATTATTGATGTAGGGGTCTCACTGACCTCATGATCTTACGGTCTTTGCAGTAGAGTTGTTACCCTTTGAAGAAAAACACCTCTCTCTACAATAGCAATATTATAGCAAAGTTACAAAAGCAGGACCAAAGACATATTCCACAAAATCAAAGATTTTGTCCCCCAAATTCAAATTCCCATACTTTTTAGCTTTGTACCTTTATGGGTTGGGGAGTGCTCCATTAAATCATCTTCCAATGTCTCTTCTCTTTCTGACCATACATTCTTTTTTTTTTGCAGCTTAAAGATAGTGCCGACAATATATCGTAATCTTTAGAAGAAGTTCAATAGTTAGGTCTATTTTTTAGTAATTGGGATGTGTCAGTTTCAATCTCTTTTTACATTTTTTAAGAGGTAGTCACTCTTGTCCTTTTGGAAACATATTCTAGACCAGCTCAAGCTACTGTGGTCAGCTGTTGAGTTCGATAGAATAATCAGTACAAATTTAGATATCATATAACTTAAAAAAAAAAGACAACATATTGTATTGTCGGGTTTTTATCATATTGTGTTAAAATTTATTTAATCCATACTAAATCAATTCATAATTTTATATAGTGGGGTTCGTGTTGCACAGAGTTACGATCTTGGAGCAAGTTGTGTCAACATATTTAATAAAGGGGTCTTGCATGTAAATTCAATATGAACCGTATGAAAACTCAAATCATATCCAATAAAATAAATTATTATCGATTTGGTATGAGATTGACAACTGATAATAGTAAGAATTACCATACATAGGGAATATTAAACTATGGTACTTTCTATTTTTTTTTGTCCATACCCTATCAAAAAATAGTACTATCAACTAGTGATAATTATTATTAGAGATGTCAATAAACCGAAAAAAATAGATATTCATTTAAATTTGTCTCATTTGGATTTGGAATGAACCATATATATTGAACAATAAACGTATCGAGAAATCTATATAAATCCTTGCGGAGATGGACTAAAATTTATCCCCTCTTCGCCATGCTAAACCAATAGTTTAGACGCTCAAAGGGTAAGTTAACCTTTAAATTTTATTACTTTCAATACAATAATGAAGCGGATGTACAGTGATCATTCTTGTAATTGGACAAAAAAAGAAAGAGTAATGCTATTGAGATTTAAAAATCTAACTTAATTTTTTGTTACAGGATGTTCAAGTTTGCGCTGACTATTTCCTCGAATTCTGAGTCGATCACCCTAACTCGAACTAGTTTACGAACATAGGACCTGACAAATAAGGGTAGTTGATCCTTAGGAGGTGTGAGAAATATCAAACCTGAGACCTCTTCCTTGTAAGAATGTAGATCTGACCACTAGGTCAAATATGATTTAATTTGTTAACATAATGACGTAACTTCATTATTACTATTAAATTAATACAAGATTTTAATGTTTGATGAATAATTATAATAAATTAAATCATTAAATTAAGTCAATAAATTAAATTTGAATAGAATTACTCAAAAAAGAATGAATAATTCCTATTTAAATCTAAAAATATGATTTAATGATATGAATTTAGCAAAACTAGTGAATCAACACTAGATTCTAATATTTTATGGAGCTCACAATCAATCGAAAAATTATAATTAATTAGATTAATAAATTAGAACAATAAATTAGATCCACAACATTGCTGAAAAAGAATGATAAGTGGACTTAAGTTTCATAGGTCGAGAGGATGATTAAACCCTCCCAGTTGGCACGCATGCGGTTACTAAATCCATTGTCTCGTATAACATGTGAAAAAAGCTACATCAACTGCCAAAAGCCAAAAGGGGTTCATCTTGTGACTACTAATCCCTCTGGTAAATGTAAAGTAGACATTGTAATAATGGGTGACCCAACTTTCATAGAAGAATGGATAATTTTATACACTATTTGTGCTATTTCATTATAATTTGAGTGTTACAAATTCAAATCATGAAAAATTGTCACGTGAACTAAAAGTTAATGAGACAATAGTGGGTCAAAACGAGGATTTTGAACACTTATACGATAGAATTTGACATGAATTTTGAGGATAGTTTAAGTAATAATATAGACGAATTGTAAATATAGACGTTTTAAGTTTGATTGTTGGTAACTCATGAAACCAAGTTTGAAGCTTACGCGCACCTCATGAATACCCTAGTCCAGATAAGGATGGGTTGTCTTTGATCGGACTGAAAAAAAGATTAGTTGAAGTATACATATATATTGGTTTGGACACTCCTGAACAGTAACCAAGAGAGAGAGAGAGAGAGAGTTTGGCCTTAAAAACCAGATAAGTTAGGTCCATAACAAAAGTAATTTTTAGATACCATTTTTGTTTTTTAATCACCAAGTCACACATGTAAAATTTTATTTACTTACTATTTGGAGCTAAAATATAAAATTTTGGGAATATTCAAAGTGTATTGACATTTGGCATCTTAGATGCATTGAGAAAATGACATGTGGTAGAATCTGAAGAAAAAGAGGAGATGATCGACTACAATCATATTTAAAAAAGAAGAAATAACTAATTAAGAGTTATCAGTCAGTAACTATCTACACGAACAAAAGTGTCGTAAATAACGACTACAAGATGACACTTAGTGGAAAAAATAAAGGATACACTCAAATTATCCAAAGATCTATGATCTGAGCATTATTAAGAATAGTTTTTCAATTAATTTTACGAACAGTCACTGTTGTAATCAATGTTATTTTATTCAATCTTTCGTAATCGAAATCACTTTAATTGAATTAATAAAGAATCACTGTTATTTCATTTCGCTTTTGCACAATGTGATTGTCCATTATTTTTCATCCAAAGAAATTCGACATTTGAACTCATTTCAAACAACCGTTTGACAATTGTTTATCGATTAAAATATTTCTATCGACCCCAATAGATTTTAAAGCACGGCACCGCACCGCTTATAAACAATTCAAAATTAATTATTAGTGTCATTCTGAAATATTACTTTTTGGTAGATAGGGACAGAGTGAGAATTTGTTTGCATGTGAGCAGAGGGAACAGATTGTCGGCCACTGGGGCTTGAGGCTTGCGGTTTCTTTGTGAGGTGAGACTTTTTATTTGATTTTGTTGGGAGGCCTTTGACCTCCTTACCAGATCACATCAAAATAATCCTTGTTTAAAAATATTTATAAAATTAATAATTTTTTTTATACAAAAAAAAATTATAAAAATATTTATCACAACAGTAATAAAAACACTTACAAAAATGTTAATTTCTTTTGTTATAAAACAAATCACAAAAATTATTAAATTATCCATTAAAATAATAAATTTTAAAAATACGGTACCATAGTCAAGTCCATATCTGTATTGGGCATATATTCCACCTACGGTACAAAAAATTATAATATTTTAAGATTAAATAAATTATAATTTATTAAAATTTTAAATTATGATTCAAAAAGTAAAAATAATTTAATATTATAATTAATCGTGAAAATATAATTTTTAAAGATAAAATTATAACCAATTGAATTGATTCGAATCGGTGACGAATAGTTACAATTTTACATTTAAATGTGGATACTTGACCTCGGAAGTAAAATTTTTTGTACCTTACTCAATTTTTTTTAGATACACTAGTCATTTTCCTATTTACATTTATCATTCTAATTGTAATTTATGACGGTATTAGAAAATTTATGAGAGATAAATCTCTCGTGATCTGGTCTTAAAAGACTGTCAATGTTTGAACTCCAAATATTTAAGTTTACAACTCATAAAATTTGAATTCAGACACCCCCAAAAAAAAAAAAAAGGTGAATCTGAATTTGAAAGTTAGAATTAATTGACATGAATACAAACAAATACAAAAATTCTCTTGAATGTAGTAGAATATTAATGTCCATATAAGGTAAGCTCGAAAGAGACCTGAGAGAGAGAGAGGGAGAGAAACATAGAAAGAAACAGTGCAGATATTCTTAATTACTTCTGTCTATACTGCATTTCCCCCCCCGTCTGCAACCAACTCTTCCTTTCATCTTCTCATCTATACTGACACTGGTTTGAAAGTTGGAAACAGAGGGATAGAAGCAGTATCACATGCACCATATGAGATATAAGCCTAATGTGAATTCAGAGAGAGAGAGAGAGAGAGAGAGAGTTGGTGTTTAACGAGGACTGCCAACAGCATCTACAAACACCCTGCTGAGTGAAGGCAATCTCATCTGCTGTTCATGAACTCTGGTCTTTTTGAAGAGTAGTTCAGGTGATGAACAAACCGATGATGAACCCACAGCCCAAGAATCATTTGAACTATCAGAACTCAAATATACATCAATTACACCACTTGGGCCTCCTGGAATTTGTTGATACTTGCGCTTGTTGTGCTTGTTTTGTCCATACACACAAGTGTTTGATAGTTCCACAATGAGTTGGTAGCAATCATTCACTTTCTCCTGTACAATAAAGTCAAAAATTTATAAGACATATTACATCATGCATAACGACTTGAATATTAATATTTCTATGTCATTATTATGTCGAAAAATCGAAATTTACTTCATCTATTCATTGTCCCATCGTAATTAAATATCACTAATTTGCTGGGTGTCAAATTCGTGTCAAATATAATTTGTGTTTAAGCGAATTCATGTCAACCGGCCCATTTATTTAGCAGATCTAATAGTCCGTTTACGGTTAAACTCAAACTCATAAGAATGGCTCTTTTAGATTTAACCAAAGATTAACAATAAAGAAAAAGAATAGTGGTTTGAGCACATTAAAAGGAAAAAAAAAACAGTTACAAACCTTGCTGATTTTGAGAACACCAAGAAGCTGGTTTTGGTAGTCAATGGCATTACGAGGCTCAACATGTTGAATAACGTGAAGCATTGTTGCCGTTGCCAATACAGAAGGTAGATAACGTGCGAATCTCGAATCTACATAATCATAATCCCCAAGAAAACTATGAGAAATCATGTGATATCTAAGAAGGGTTTTGTTACTTTAATGTTCTTTGTTCTTATCCAATGATCTAATCTGGGTAACTGAAATCTGAATTCCTCTCATTTCATTTCATTTTTTCATTAAAACTTGATGAAAATTGAAAAGAATCATATCTATAGTCAAAATGAATCAATGATTGAACATCGAAATTAGGCTTACCAGCCACAACAGAGAGGAGGAGACTCTCACACCGCCTGAGAAATTCCCAATGGAGATGGATCTTCAATCCAAGCCTTCTTATAATATGATCAAGAAATGAAATTGGGGTCACTGGGTTCATCCTCCATTGAAGACTTGACAGCACCAAAAGCTCCATTCTTTGAATATGTTTGGCTTCAAACACATACTCTGTGCCTTCCACCTAATCAAAATACACCAAAAACCAGCATTCAGAAGAATCAGAACTCCAAAACCAACAAAAGATGGTATTTTAACAAGACCCAAAAATTATTATTTTTTTCTTTTTTTAACATACTTGAAGGTCTAGGAGGAGGGGCACTTGGGTCTCTTCAACCTTAGCAGCCAAAGAAAGACAAGTTACAGCTGCAAGTTGAATCTTCCATGGCTTATCTTTCTGAAAATGAAGGCTAGAGAGAAACCTATCAAGGTAATTAATGGCAAGTATAGCAGTCAAAGTTGAAAACCCATGATGAGCATTGACATTTAGCATCCAATCCACAGCTTCTCTTCTAGCCAAGAGGAGAGAAGAATCAGCCTCAACATTGTCAAAGCAGAGATGGGCTTGTTGTTCTTTGGAGAAGAGAGAGAGGAGCTCTTCATCTTCCCAAAACAGATCTTGTTCCAATAAGAGCATAGGGTGACGAGAAGGGTTCCTTCCATTGTTGAAGTTGTTTTCCCTCTCTAAACCCTCTCCTCTTCCTCCTCCTCCTCCTCCTCCCAGTGTTCTTCCTCACAGTAAAGACCATCCAACAAGAATGATTGAGTTTGTTGCTGCGTGATCTGTTGATCCTCATTTTGTTGTATTGCCATCTTCTTCAGAGAAGAAGTCTTCTTTGTCCACTGCTCATAATACAAAAGTGAGAAGAAAAATAAACCAAATTCTCACACCCAAGGCCTTCTCTCTTTCTCTCTGCAGAGAGACTGAGACTTCAGTTCTCCAAAAACAGAAAGCAACGGAAGAGATTTTATCAGTGTGGCTGTCACGCTTGTCCTTTCTTTGTATATATTGAGATTGAGATATTGATTTTGGGTTTGTTTGAGGGGCTTCTTTTTTTTCTTCTCCTTTTTCTTTTTCGATGAAGTCATTTTTATGCTTTCGGTGTAGTATGTAACAGCGCAGGCACAGGCACAGGCACACACACCAACCAGTACCCCATGAAAACTACCTTTGATTGCAGCAAAATAATGACACACTGCCCGCCACAAATAACCGCAAATTGTATGTGTACATAAAAAAACATATACGAGACCCTTGGTTATTACAAAATCTGAACATGGTTATATACGTGTGTATATGTATATATACGGTTTTGATAAGTAATGTTATTAGATTAATTTTAAAACTTGATATGTTGTGATCACAGCGGAGCTCATCATTTACTATCATCAATTTGATAGTCACAATGGATTAAATCTTCGAATCAAGTACAAATAACATTATTGTGTTTTCGATACATTTTTGGCTGCAAAATCTTTCAAATTATCTCTCGTTCAACTTTCATATATAATTAGCATGAGTTCATATGATTTTAGAGTTTTTACAACTATTCAAATTGTCCGCCATCAACCCATTATATATAGGTCATTTGGTACGATGGAAAGTAAATTATTGCCATTGAAACCCTCGCGCGTCGAGTCTTTTGCAGAAGCGAAGATAAGACAAGAGCTTATATTTGTTTGCCAAAGATTTGAATGAGCAGTCACGAGCTTTTAAATATAAAAAAATTATAAATATATAAATAAAAATTAAGAAATAGTGCATCGTGGATTGGCCCAAGCTAGGTAGAGGTAGCCCATATGCCAACCCTAACATGGGTCGACTTTATTGATTTGTTAATCCTCCAATTTTTTTTTTGTCAGACAATATTACAAGGGAAATAAGCGATAAAGTTTCAAACGACAAAGTTTGAACATGTGACCTTAAAATTCAACAACAGAGGGATGAACATTAGGTTGATCGATCGATAACCTCTCAATTATAGGTTTATACAACCAAGTTTTAAGTATTTCTATGGTATTTTATGATATTCTATTTTTTTTTAATTAATAAGAATATGATAGGTTTAAAATTTTTTATTTATAATTTTATTTTATTATTTTTATGATCAATAACTACAAATAAATCAATCGTAAATTTGTCACAATAAATTATACTCAATTTTTTCGATACTATAATCTTATTAAGGTTATATTCTCGTTTGTATTGAAATTGTTTTGATTTTTTTTTGATTCAACGGTCAGGAATATTCGGGTCAACTTATGCGCATTTCGATTAATTTCTTTCCCGATTCAGTCAAAAAGTTAGATCATCCACGTCGGGATTAGACTAATTATGAGAAATAAATTACTTATGGCCCGACTGTTAAAAAATTACAAAAATTTGAACATATGAAATCTGAGTTTGCAACTCATTTTTGTTATTAGTTAGCTACTTTAGGTTAGATCGCTTTGATTCATCGACACAAATAAACAGCAAAGTCCTTGGGGTTGGTGGTTGAGGTGGTGGCCAGCCTATACTTGGTAGTTGGTACCGGTAATAACACTCTTTTTTAAACGGGTCATTATTCTTGCATGGTCAAATTGCTTTTGGGTTTAAGACTTAGGCCAGTTATAGGGTATCGAAAAAAATATATATATTTTGAAAAACAAAGTTTTTGAAATTAAAAGAATAAATCAAATATCAAGTGATCAACAAGAACAAAACGAGAGGGAGTCGAACCCTTTTTTGATGCAAAAATAAACTAAATTCTTTATTCGATTATCGTCTTTTCACAATGTTATTGTATTGTTAACAATGATTTCAATCTTATTTCTTAACTTGTCATTATTTATATGGAAAACATAGCTTAAACTCATATTTTTCAATATAAAGTTTTATTATGTAAACACATTTTTACATAAAAAGGTGCGAATTTAACTATTTCAATCTCAAAAATGATGGTTTTTTTTTTTTTTTGGTAAATAAAGATAAACGAAAATTAGTTAAAAGATCACAATATAGATTGGGGAATCTCACTTTGTATCTTGAAAGATTTAGAAATTTTCACTTTGTACTAAAGATGCCAATGGACAGAAGCAGGGGTGGGGGTATAGTCTTCATCCCTTTACCCGCATAAAAAACCTTCGTCCATCTCCGATCCACCCCCGCTAACGGATATAATTTTCATCCCCATCCCCGTTCACGGGTAAATTTATAATTCTCATCCCCGTCCCCGCTTCTCCCGTACCCGCCCAAGCCCAAATTCAAGCCAACATAATCCAACATTTTAAATAATCCAACAACATTATATATAACAAACAAAAAATTCAAACAACAATAAACAATATTTTCATAGCTAAATAGAATTATCACAACTATTAATGCTAACTTTAAATTATACTACGGTGAAACATGAACTATTAATGCTAACTTTAACTTTAAATTATAAAACTGTTAATGCAAGATTTACAGATGTAGCTAATAATGACATATTGATATATGTATATGTATATATATAACGGATAACGGGTAACGGGGACGGGGACGGGGACGGGGACGGGGGTAGGGGTAAATCCATCCCCGCACGAGTTTATACGGGTATTTTTGTATATGTCCACCGTCCAATACGTACAGTCCATCCCCAATCCAAACGGGGCGGGTTTGGACGAATACCCGTTTTTCTCCGGTCTACTGCCATCCCTACTTTGTACTCTCAAAAAATTAAATTACTCATATGACACTCTCAATGTATTAAAAATATCGTACTGTGACTATTTCGTTAGCTTTCGTTGTTTATTCTATCAAAAATAGCTCATTGACACTGACAAAATGAGCTATGAAAACTAATATATAAAAGTTACATTACAATATTCTAATACATTGAAGGTGTAATATAAAAAAATTATTCTTTAAAAGTGCAAAACGAGAATTCACCACTACAGGTATAGTAAAGTTGGAATAATAGAATAGTTTGGTAATCGACTAGAGGATAATTGGTCTGTTTGAAGCTAGTTTAAATAGGTAATTTTTAAGGACTATGGAGTAAAATAAGTTAGGTTCTTCTGGAGTTCGATTGACTTTTTAACTAAATTATGCAGTAATTTTTTGAATCCAAAAAAGTTTATTAGGCTTATTCAAAAAATTGACTTTATGAGTTTTTCTTCCAATTTTTTAGAGTCATTCAAAATAAGCCCTAAGGGCATAATCAAGGGCCCTAATTAAAGGGCCTTTTGCCCTACTCCATGACTTCACCAGCCGATTTTGACCTAGATCACATAATATGAGAGTGGAGGCGAGAGCATGAATAAGAACGAGAGTGTAAAAGCAACTAAATTTAAAAAAAAATTAGAGCGAGAACATTGTAAACGTCATATTATATGCATATACACACATTTTCACTAACAAAAGTTAATAAAAGTGTAATTTAAAAAAAAATAAACTCCAGCACAACTATATAACAAACTATTTAGTGATACATCATAATTTTTTATTAGATAAATGTATGTTTCATAAATAATTTCAAACTAAAGAGTGGAGGGATAAAATTCCAAATTAATTTATTTTCATATGTCAGCTTAATGTACTTATCAAATGATCTGATTTAATTCAGTACTTAAATTTCAGTAGATATCAAACAGTCTGCAAATTAAAAATTTAGTATTGAATACTTTTAAAATTCAGTTTTTAGTTTTCAGTATTCAGCTATCAGTTTTATCGAACAACACCTAAGTGAGAGCTTGAATTAGTTGAATTCAAGAATTAATAAAATTAACTTCACAAAATTAATAAAATGAGATCACGACCTTATGAAAAATTCACTTTCAAAACACGAATTCACACACCAAGTGGGTGGTTCAACCAAATTATGTGACTAAGAGCTTGACCCTTCAAAGTCATCCACTACCAGCCTCAACCACTCACTTGGAAATTTGGAAAAAGGCAGTGAAAATGGGAGTTGAAGTGGAACGCAACGCCCCATTACAATCCCCTATGGCTTCTCCCACCGAAAGTGATCTCAAATAGCTCTAATAACAAACCCTAGTTGATTGTCAAAAGGCAATTAAGTGGCAAAATAGTTGAAAGGTCAATTTATCATATGATTGCTAGTGCTAGATATCCAATCCGAAGGGACTCATCTTTTAGTCTCTCGTCATAATCATCATTGCCTTAGCAATGAACTGTTTTTTAGCAGGAAGGCAATTCCTTTTTTGTTGGAAGGGACTTCTGTGGTACCTTGGCCGGTACTGATATCAAAAATTATATTTTTTTTAAAATTAAAATATAATTTTTTTGAGACGTAAATTATAATTTTTAAAAATATAATTGATCATGGAATGTTAGAATTGATACCTCATTTTTCATAATTAATTCAACACGAATTGATTATTTGATACAAATTAATACGAAATTAGCGAATTTGAATTTAATCTAAATGAATTTGGCTGATAAATCAGTAGATTTATCCAACCCATATACTGAACCAATCATGTTCGGATGGAGTACCTTAAATAGTTTACCACCCAATTACTCATTTAAAAAATTATTATACCACTCAATTTAGGGGTGTTCATGAGCTGGGTTATCCACGGGTCCCGTTATCCAACCCAAAAAAAATAAGCCTGAAATTTAATAGGCCCCGATAATTGACTCGCCCGGGTCCGAGCTCAATATCCTTAAAAAGAGAGCTTGAGTTTGCCCTAAATCCATTACCCCGCTTGAAATTCGTTAGAAAAAATCCGTTAAAATCTGGCCCAAGAGCCCGCCCATTCACTGTTCCTTGGAAAAAAAGTTATACTTTTAGACAATTAAATTTGAAACTTTGAAATAAGTCTCCTAATGTCAAAATTTGAAATTTTAAAAATTTAGATACTATAAATAATGTATTATTTTCTTTTTTATGTATTAAACATATAAGTTTTAAAGGGTAGAGTAATGCAAATGATAAATAAGTGAATAGGTGTCAACCTACTTGGAATATATTTAGGGGTGTCAAACGTGTCGGATTGAGTCATTTTATGTTGGGTTGATTTCGAGTTTGTGTCAAAAATTTTAAAATACGAACCTGACCTATTTAATAATCATGTCGAGATATGTAAATACTAATCCAATCTAACTAATAAACGGGTTATCCGAACCCGACCTGTTTAAAATATTTAATAAATAGGTCATTTTCGGATTAACATACATAACATGATCTATTTAACCTGTTTAACACACATAATTTGTTCCACACCTGTTCATTACTATTAAATACACAATTCAATCATTCATTCAAAATTTCAAATAATTTTTTTACGAATAACATATCACATCTCATCAATTAAATTAACTAAAATACATTTAAGTTTTAACCCAAAAATTAAAGAAAGAACTATACTATAATGTCTTAATAATGTTAAGAACTATATTGTCAATTACCATAGTACAAGTAATAACTAATAAATAATAATGTTAAGACCACCTCAGATATAAATAATAGACAAATTATACTACCATAAACAGGATTACAATTGGTTAGGTCGAGTTCGTGTGTGAATCATGTCAATATGTTTAAAATATACAAGTTATTCAGATTGACTTGGTTTTGACATGAACTCGACATAATTTTTTTCATATTTAAACGTGTTGACCCGTTTTTACTCATTGACCCCGTTTAATTTTGTATTTGACCTATTAATTTCGTGTTAGGTTCATGTCTTGTTAACGTGTCATGTCAAAAATTGATAACTTAGATATATTCATTCTATTGAATATAGTTTACCCCCTAATTAAAAATAAAATAATTTATTATTTTATTTTTATTCATTTTGACTCTACTTTTGATTCAAAAATATAATTTACACAAATATTAAATTACAAAAATATTCATTATTTTTAAATAAAATTGTATATAAAAAAAACCCACAAGCAGACCCGTCCACCGGCCCGCCTAATAGGCCCATGGGTTAGGCTATGGGTAACCTACCCTTACATGAAGTTTGGCCCCACCCGTCCAATAGCTCACTTGGGTAATGCTTGGGTCTACATTACCCAAGTTCGGCTCGAATATTTTTTTGTAAGTCTAATCTAGTCCGGCCTGGCCTATGGACACGCCTAACTCAACTATCTCTTTATCACCCTTTTATTAATTTAATAAATAACCCAAATTTGTTACAAAATTATAACTTATAATTAGAATTTTTTTATGTTGCATAATTAGGGGGTAACACGACTCATGTCATATAACCCGTTTAATAAACGAATTAATTTTGCGATTTTTACTTGTTTAATAAATGAGGTGTATACAAGTAGAGTAATTTTTTATATTAATCTACTAAAATTCGACACAAATTAACTTGATTATTACAAGTGAAATGACGTTATAGGTTGTGTAGAATCAGATGAATCTTGATTATTAGCCAATTACAGTTGAATAATTCACTTATAAAACAGGTTGCACCACTACATGCAGTTATGACGCTATTAAAAACTAACCAAATAAGTTCTCATAAGTCTTGGGGTTTTTGAAACAACAGTCAAGTGATTAACAATTTGGATCAAAGCATGTACTACATCACATGTTTGAATCACGAAAATGCTGACGCTGGATTGCAATACTTTGATATGATATATATGGATATAAATTTTGGCTAGACCTCGATTTTGGTACAGCTATAAAGTACGAACACGTAAATGACACGACCGTGTCAACACATCTCCATGTTCAACTGTCTTATTGTTTGCATCTGATAATAAACTACTACAGTCGTCTCTTCGAACACTTGGGATGGGATGTAATGTACAGAATCAAATGTAGTTGAATTTAGCCATAGCTTTATGGAACAATACTTAAGAAACCAATAATTTCAAGACTAACCTATCACAACGGGAACATATTAAATGAATTGAACTGCTGTCCCGAACTTGTGTCACCTAACTGCTCACAGGCTATCTATGTACAGATCTTGTATCGAAGCCTGATATGCAGAGCCCCTAAGCTCACTCGCTTTCATAGTCCTCGTCATCTCCAAATGTAAACACAGATGCATCAGCGGCCATTGCCTTGAAGTCACTTACCTCCCCTACCGGCATGGGGACCTCATGGCCTGACACCGATCCCCCAATGGCAGTCTTTTTCGGGTCAGGAGTAGTATCAATATGCGTAGAGCCTATGCTCCCCAGAGAGACTTGCTCAGTCTCCCGTGTCAAACTTGCAATCTGATCAGAGGTTGTATTGATCTGAGACTCAGACTTGAAGGCTGTTTTACTGACAGTTCCATCACCTTTGGAAGCTTCTTTAGTTTGTTTGCTTTTTGAAGAGCTTGTTTCCTCGGCCTCACTATCTGAGAACACATCATCCTTTTCACTGCTTCCCGAGTTTTTATTTGAATTTATAGCATCAGCGTTAACTGAGGCAGGACTGGTTCCTGAGATGGGAATGGAATTTGAACTTTCAATTGCTTTAGTAATGGCATTTTCAGCTGAAGGCCTTGTCGTAACAGCACTGTCATAGTCCACAAGCACCACCTCCACTAGAAATCCTGGGGATGGTAGTTTCCTCTGCAAATGGTCCAGAAAAGAAAATATAGGTTGAATGGTGGCTGAAATATAAAGACCGATATTTGGTGAAATATAGAGAGTGTTGATAAAAAGAGAGTAATAAATCTATCTTTACGGCTGGAAATGCTACTTCTGAAGAAAACATTTGGACACAGACTCTAAGAGTACCGCCTATGTGGACCATCAACGTCAATACATTGCATAAAATTAGTAATGTTTACCTTGTCAAACCCATCAAGATCATTTGTGTTTAGAACTTTTCTGTTCTCGATCATTGTAGTGTTTAACCAACTGCAGGATCAAAAGAAGATATAAGAAACAGGTTCTCTTCTATTCTGAGAAGCACAAGAAGCCACTAAGGCATTTTCATTGCCCCTTTTTTGGTGCATCTGTTCCCTGTTTCGGGAGCAAAACAGTGGAAAGGGAATCGGGTGTTAGAAATTTAGTTAATACGCTCTCCGTTTCTAAATATCTGTCGTGTAAGGTTTTTGCATAAAAATTAAGGAAGTTATTAAATAGCTCTAATATGAGTAAAAAATAATTACACAAGATTAAAATACCCTTATTCAATACGTATTGGAAAAGAAAGGAATATGAAAGACACTTAGCCTACACTTAATCTATTAAGCACTTATTGGAAAATAGAGATAAGGGTAAATTTGGAAAAAAAATATTTATTATGCTTTGGTTTTATAAACCGACAGATATTATGGAACAAAAAAAATTGTGTAAAACGACAGATATTTAGGAACGGAGGGAGTATACCAATAAAAGTCTCCTTGGCGATCATGAAAATGAACTTTGAAATCCCCAGCCAACTCTGTCAGACCTGGCTCCCCAGGCAGAGCAAAGACCATGATCCCTTTCTTTGGTGCAGTGAACCAAAAGTCTTCAGGCTGCACATATAACAAGAATGAAAACTGAAGGTGACAATAGCATATGCTGAAAGTTTAGAAATTTAGTCCAAATAATCTTTTGGAAGTTTAATAAATGATAGTTTTTGAAGGAACCAACTTCTATGGTTTTGACACATTACAAAAAGAAAAATCAGTAAGGGTTGACTAAGAATTATAAGTCATAAATGGTTAATTTCAAACAATCCGATGCATAGCATGTGTTGCCTACCCGCCAACATTTAATAGAACAAGTCTTGAGCGTAGGAATCAAAACGTAAGATGAACATTCTCTATAAAAATATTTACTCTCTTGATTTTTACTTCTTGTTTTTACCAAAAGGAAGCTCATGAAGTCTTACGACTGATGATGCTTAAAGAAAAGCAATACTTGATAAATCTTCCGATTTGCCATTTTATCCCTAATGGATAGAAATTTGACAGAAATGAAAACAGATCTTTATTTGCTACGATGTTATCAAGGAGACCTACCGACAGATCCTTGGTTCTTGGATGCTTTTTTGTAGAAAAGAGAATACCTGAAAATAAGATAAATATCATCCAAATATCAATGTTCGTAAATGAGTGGCATGATTTTAAAGCAATACAAGTTGCAAAGTGCAAAAGCCTTTAGAATGGAAATCTAGAATTAAAAAACTCAAATTATTGCAATCAAAATTTGAATCCAGTTGTCTACCAACAAGAATTTATACCCAGTCACTTAAATCAGATTCAGAAATATTTTACGGCCAACTGCACTTTGAATCAGATCTTGATCAACTGTTCCACGATGGAACAGAACAACCAAAACCACTAGATTTCCTCATAGAATGCCCCCAAAAATATGACCAGCAAGTCTACCCCCGAAAAGAAAACATCACCCCACTGCCAGCCCCAAAAAAAGGAAAATAAAGGGGTTAGGGGGGGAACAAATACAAGCAAGCTATCCAATTGGGCCACAGGACCATCTAGAATAAGAATGCCAACTAATTCTGAAGTATGAGGGAGCCATTTGACAGCAAAATTTCACTAAAGCAATAAAAAGGGGAGAGAATTCTAGTAACCACTGAAAAAATAGTATATAAACTAAGTAGGACAAAGTATCAAAAGAAGCTGAGAGGTGAGATGAAATCACATCCAACACCAAAAAAGAATATTGCAGCGTACCATTATGATCGGAGACCGTAATATGAGGCCTAATCCAATATGGGCACCTGTGGAGCCGAAATCCTCTAAGCATGCACCTAAAAATAACATAATTCAGAACAAATTAAGCAAAGCATTAGATTGTAAGTGGGGTTGACCAAACAGGTCATGATTCATCTCAAGCTAGGATCACAACCGGTGACAGGCAAGAACAAAGGATGGGATTGCAAATTTTAAGGTTCACGCAATAATATAAGTTCTATGCTGTGAAATGCTTCTACAACATGAAAAGCAAAAATGCATTTTGCCACACATGTGGTAAGAAGTATACCTGCGTCCAGGCTGGTTTTCTCCATTGAAGTAAGTTAAAACACGTTCGAAATATTTGACGTATCTCTTAAAGGAAAAAGAAAAGATACACTTATCAGAAAAGATACATAGAAGCTCAGGAGGGTTGGGGGTTTGTGTGTTTGGGGGGTGGGGAGGGAGGGAGAGAGCTCACAATCTGACTCGGAAGAACAAGCCCTTTTCCATCGAAACACCTTTTCTGGTTGTAGTAGTCAATAGACTCCTCAGCTGTGGGAAAGAACTGCATAGTGATGACACACAAGGTAGCACTGTTGTCATAAAAACCAATCAATAAAACACCATCAAGGAAATAAGAATCTGTGCCAGAGAAAAATGTGTTTATTTTATTTCACAATAACATTGCCGCCTTTCAGGGAGTGTACTATATGCATCATACCTTCAAATATAATAGAAGACTAGAAATCATCAACCCTGTCCTGGCCATTCCAGCCTTACAGTGCACAACAACAACATTCTCGATATCCTCCTTCAACCAAGAGTATGCACTATGACAAAATGATATTATGAGTTGTATGGGAGGGCAGTTATGGTCATCAAATGGGAAACTGGCCACCTGCAAAAGAAAAGATATATCACGTATAACAAACTGTCATACACAGAATATACGTAAGATCAAACCATCTAAATTTTCAAATGTTAAACCACAGCACAGCACCTACTGAATGTTAAGGAAAGTAATTATTTGCCCTTTCACAATGCAAATAATTACTTTCCTATAGAGTTGAGCTGAATAAATTGCTTTCACGAAAACATATAACTTGCACTCAGCTTTATAAGTTCAGGTGAAGAATCACACATGTTTTTTACAATTGTGTTTATGTGGAAACCATGGCTACTTAAATTTCTAAAATTTTCATCCAAACCTTAGACAGTACTTGAAAAATTGTGATAGTTTCTCAAATTGAGCAAACACAAGGGGATAGTACGAACGGTTTTCAACTTTATTACAAGATTCAAACAGCTCTCTCCCCATGCCAATTTTCAATAATCCTAACTTAAAAACAACCCCTTGAAACTGGTAGCTTTAAAAGTGGTAAGAAAATCAAAATCAAAGGCAATTAACAGCTCAAAGATAGCCATCAAGTATAAATATTTAGGGAAAATAAGATTTGAAGGTTTACCAACCATGTCCAAGTTGTCAAAAAAATTTAAGCATCCAACAAATATGCCCCTACAATTCAGATATTTAGTTCCAATAACAGAAACTCGCAAGCTTCAAAAGAAAATGTCACACCTTTCCCTCCAATAATGATGCATCATACAACCTCTCAGAACATAGATTGTACACTTTGTATTTATCCTGCATAGAAATTGATCAAAAGTAAGGCGAGGTGATATAAAATGATACTAAAGATGTGGATTGAGATTCTGAACACCAATACCATCATGAAATAACGATCACAAGCAAATAACACAAATTGATAATATATGAAGTGGGGCATCTGTAGCAACACACTGGAGAAAAGCAATTGGTTAAGAGATGAACCTCAGATCAAAATGTAATCCATTAAGGAAAATAATTATCATAATGAATCAAACCAATCAATTCAAGGTGATATCAAAGGAAAAGAACTACAGGAACCGAACCCTTGACGTAGCCCCCACCTATTAAATGACAGACCAGAAGCTTGCAACTGTAATCCAAGGATTTGAAATGAATGATACACAATAGTATATTATATTTTATTGCTTCTTCATTTAACCAAAATGCACTCATAAGTATCTGAACTGGCAGATGCCTTCAAAGATGGTCAGCCACTTACTATGTCATCAATTTTGTTTTGCAGGCATTTCTTTTTTTATTGTTAGTTGTTACCACCATTTCAGAATTTCAATTGAGGTTTTTCACTAAAAACATGTCTGAAATCATATGGTTTCATAAATCTGTAAATTCATGGCAAATAATATTTCTTTGGTTCAAATGACAAATAAAGGACTCTTAGGTGCCAATGGACTAGCAAAAAAAGTCAAAATCACAAATAAAAACTTATAAACAGAAAGACTTAAGATCTGCCAACCTGACCAAAACATTTCCCCAGAAAAAAAACCCAGCCCTAAATTTTCAAACCAAAATGAACAAGTGTGATTCGTCATTCCAATTCCTGTTCAATACAAAAAGCAACAATTATCATGGATGGCTTGGGTCACAACCCCTAATAGATCGAACTGGAGGACCAGGTCTATAAACATAACCAACTACCAGGGTGCAACAATAGCCATCCTCTTACATCATGAAACACCAGAAAATCAACGGTTTGCTCCAGACTATGAAAGTGAAGTATGGCAGAGTTTCTGGACAATATGTCAACTTCGGTGAAAAAGAACGCCCCATATCAGTTGGAGGATGTTCATAAATTCAGCACTGGAATTCATCTGTTCCATAATAAGATTTCTTCGACTATTCTGCTATATAAATATTATTAGAGCATCCAACCTAAAACCAATTGGCAATGGGTGGAGTATCCCCTCTCAAGTATATAAACCAACTTTGATGATCCTAATTATTTGATATGGGATACAAGCTCTCTTAATACCCTCCCTCACATGGGACCCGGGCTCGCACGTGGGGTCAACAAACAAACATACAACCATATCAGGATACTTAACCTTGACCACCCAAGGCCAAACTCTAATTCAAACCAATTGGCAATAGGTGGGGCAACCGCTCAAGTATATAAACCAACTTTGGTGGTCTTAATTATTTGATGTAATATATAGGCTCTCTTAGCATGATATCCGAATCTGATGGTATAGTGTGACAGTGAAATATGCCAGCTGATCCTTGGTTGAAACATGTACGAATCCAACTAAATTGATCACCTTCTTTCGTATGCGCAAAAATGGAAGGGTCAATCTAAACGAGTGAAGCAAATTGGTAACAAGGTCATTCACTTCATTATATCCAACTTGATCCAAATTCAAAATGCTTTCAAGACAACCTACAAATAGCTTAGAGATCAAATAGACATATATAGTTTGCATCTTAATTTATTAAAAATCTCAAGAAGTAAAATCTTTATGGCAATTGATTTTATTTTATGGCGACCTATGCAGCTGATTTCCTTCCATCCCTCCCTCTATCTCTTTTTTGTATGTAACTTCTTTGCACAGATGACACACATTAAAAAAAAGATAGAAATATCAAAGTTCTGGTTTCTCCAAAGTTCTGACTGTTTGATACAGTGTCGCTGCACAACAGCAACTGCAACCATGCTGGGGTATCTTTATGCCTACTGGAAGGTCTTCAATTTCTGAAGATAGACAAGGAAGAAAAATGGGAAGAAAAAATCACAACATAGGTCGCCTTCTATCAAACATGATGGTGAGAAGAGAGATCCCAGGAGGAGCAAGATTCCCATTTATTGCTTTGCCTCAAGATTGTCCAAGGTAACGCTACATAATAAAGAGTACAAGTAGTAAAGGACTACATTTATTAGAATACAAATACGATTGCAGCTCAAAGATATACAGATAACTTGTCAAGCTAACCTAACTTTTACTGAGACGACGACTCAATGGAAAACATATTTCCTACTCAAGGAGTTTACTTTTACTGAGACGACGACTCAATGGAAAACATATTTCCTACTCAAGGAGTTTAATAAATAAACAGATTGACAGTCTCAGCAGGCATATTGTAAATGGACAGAAAACACTCACCAAAAAATGTCTCGGAGAACAATTGTCGGAAAGTATGATACATTGACTCATACAACTTTCAAAAATAGACTCAGAAGTGGGGTATCTTAATTTTCATCTCTTATGTCAAAGATGGAAAGATAACAGTTGTAGCATCGTTCAAGACATTGCAGCCATGTTACCATAGTGTTCGCAGAAGTACATACATAACCATGAACATATCCGTATTGGATAAATCGTGAATGTCATTACCTTGTGATGAGTTTCAAAGAACTTGATTACTTCTTCCATGTGATTGCGGTAGAATCCCTACATTGTATTTTTCAATTTGTTCAGTAAAATGATGACATAATCAAACTATGATTGTTAAATGTGTGGCTTTACAGAAGTTTAATTTGCTTACTTCAACATATCCAAAGAAACCAGAGCTCATATCACCAGCAGGGAAGCCCATCGCAATTATATTTTCTGTGATGTATGTCATATCTAAATCAAATCCTCCATCCTGAAAACAAGGAATAGATTCGCAATTCCAGATTAGTACACCTAATTTTCTGCAGACTTAAATAAGTGACAAGTAAATTGGCAAGACAAACCAAGGACTTTGTACACATGCAAAATGTATTTTACAATAGTCTGGAAGCAAGTGACATTTGTAGGCACGTATCAAGGACTTTCTTCATCCGAGGCTTTTATTATGAAGTTAGGATTGTGTAGGTATTCAAAAACTTCAATATATCTATTGTGATTGCCTGAGTTACACGGCCTAGTGTACATGTATGTGTCCAATTGTCTAGGACATAGGTTACAGACTTCCCTCATTGTAAAGTAATTCTACAACTAAAAAGAACATATTAAGATGGTCTTCGGAACAATTAGCAGATAAAGTTGAATTGCTAGATATGCTTGCTTAGTGCATAACCGATAGGAAAAGCCAGACACATCTACATTAATAAAACACAACAACAGTTGAAATTAACCCAATCTTCATCCAATTTCATCCAAAGTTATAAATTTTGTCCCCAAAAACTCTTCCCACCCAAAATTATAAATCCCCCTCCCCTCTCACACGAACCCCAATTAACACAAACCCACTTGTCCCTCTCTCTCTCTTCCCACTTTGTCTTCTCCCTCATAGGCCCCCTAGACCCTCCCTCATCTCCTGCTTCTCTCCCCAACCAATTGTTGCTGTCTCCTGCACGCAAAAAGCACACACAGCAACACACACACGCACAAGCGAGCCCACAATATCTACAATCAATCCTGTTGTCTGTTTTCTTTATCGATGTGTGTGTAGGATATGAGTACGCCCAGGCTCTCTCTCTCTCTCTCTCTCTCTCTCTCTCTCTTTATACATATATATATATACACACACACACACACACACATATATGTATGTATACATATATCCCTCCCTCTCTCAGCGACCAAATCCAAATTTTCAACCCACATCTGAACTTGCCACTATCTCATCCACCCAGATATCTGTTTAAAACCAATAAATCTCTACTCTCTTCCTCTTTGCCCCTTCACCATCTGGCATTTTGTCTCCATCGGTATGTGTATTGATCCCTGTGAGTGTATCTACAAAAGTGTGTGTGTGTGTGTTAGTGGGAGGGATGGAGGGCGAGAAGGGGGTGGTTATGTGAGGGTGGGGTATACTCAGGCCAGCCCCACAACCCAACTACTACACAGGTTGATTTAGGATGCAAATTATGGTTTGGAATTTTTGTACTCATTTTGTAAATTTTGTTTCAACTGAGTCATTGAAAATAATTCAATTTGTAGGTTGTGGGTTTATAATCAAATTAGTGGCATGATGTATATATACTTTATCTTTTTGCATTTCGTCGTCTTTTTTTTGGTTTAATATGGTTATCTTATTTGTCAATCAAATATGAGTCAAGCCTGTTGGGTATTTTGAGTTTCAATTATATTTCTTTTTTTTCTTTCTAAGGAGAATGTATTTTAATAGTTGATTGGTTTTGTTCGTGTTAGTATGTGAGCCATCCTTGCTATGGCGCCTTCGGCTAACTCAACAGTGCAACCAATGGCTTCATATATCGAGGCATCATATGTGAAGTTCATCTAATTAGTCGGTGCTAGGGTCACTCCACTTATTTACAATGAGCCTCTCAAGATGTTTAGAAGGTAGATAATAATTTTTTTGAGAAAACTTTTGTTTTTTTGGAAAATTTTATTGCATTCATGGCCGCGTGAGTTGGTAACAACATATAGTTGTGTTACATAAAGCTCAATCGGGTGAATTAATTCCTTTTCATTGGAGGGTGCACTAGAAGTGGGTTTTAGTTTGAGGTTGTTGACGCAATTATTCAAGGTAACCAGCAGATTTTTTTGCCAAAAGTTGGTAATAGATAACATTTTAGAGTATTGATGTAAATTTATGGATATATGCGGCTAAAATAATTTAGTAGAAGTTATTTAATTGAAAGTCTTTGGATTTGTGTAAGTTATGGTTGTCCATGTATTTAAAATTGAAAGTTTTGAAGGTGAATGATGCAGGAGACAATTTCTTTTTGCTTGCCATATGCTTAGATGTTGAAACTATGTGTGCATATACATCTACGCAATTTTTTATATTGTTTTGTCTTGTTGATTGTGTACATTTTTTGTCATTAGCAATGCAACACGTGCGTTGCACGTGAATAAATTTTGTACACAAAAATTAATAAAATATATTAGGTATATGCGTATTTAAATTAAATATCATCTCAAATTTACCAAACTTAATTTTAATTGCTCATATTCTATTATAAGATTATGAAAATTTTGAATGCTCCTAAAAAATTCTTTGTTCTAATTATTAAAAAAAAAAACATAAAAAAATAGTAATTTTTTTTTAAAATAATTCTGTGATTGAGATTAAATTTTTAGTGATGTTTGAGGAATTTAATTTCTTGAAATTCATTTGCTTAAGATTTCACTAAAATAAAAGTAATTGTCAATATACTAATCAAATTCACATTGGAACCTTATTGTAATTAGAATTAGGTAGGTCAAATGAGATAAGATTTAATATACTACTCTATAATATATATTATCAAGCATATTAAAGTTCTAAAAAATTCAAATTTTACTTAAAAATATACTACAATATCTATTTTTACATAAAATCTTAACAACTTAGAAAATTTATTGTGACTGAAGAATTATAATGATTTAAACAAACTGTATATATGATTATTTTTTATCTTAGAAATAAATGAATTAAGCTTTTCGATGAAAAAAATAAAACATATGTAAGCATAATGTTATTTTTGTATATGAGATGACTAATATTATATTGATGAAGTTTTTGAAAATTTTTTGTACTTTATTGAAAATATAATGATGCATATTTTTAAAGGGTAATGTAGTCAATCATATTTTTAATAGAAACTGATATTTTATACATAAAGAATAAATAATTAAAAGAGATATTATAGAAAATGTAGAAATTTAAATACATAGGATATGATAATAATTTGGACATTTATTATAAGAGTAAAATGAGATTCAAAAGTTTTTCATCTTAACATACTTTTATTAGTAGTATAGTGTGCGTGCAAGATCCTGCAATATAAAAAACGAGAACAGATCTCTCCCTTGGTGAACTCGAGTGAGCCAGTTGAGTAACCAACCACGCTGCTTGGAACAGCCTGCGAGTTCCGGTGGTAACCTGGAACGGCAACGGGAGACCCTGGGGGACATGAGGATCAGGAGCATGGTCCGGCGGGGCGTCCTCGGACAAGTCCACTATCACTGTCTCGGGCGGATCCGCCAAGACTTGCACCGGCGTTGGGATCTCATCCTCGGCAGCAATCTCTGCTTCGGCCCGTTCCATCTCTGCCGAGGGCACGTACTTGTGCATCTGGAAGAGCGGGGAGTCTGACGGGATTCCAGCCGACTGGAGCGCCTCGTCCCACCCTTTCTTGAAGAACTCCTTGCTGTTTTCCTCAAGAGCAGGGAGCACGTCATCGGCGAACTCTTCCCGGAGTTGCTCCTCCGATTTTCTGTTCAGTGCCTCGGCTCTGATCCTGTCCAGCTCCTGGGTGAGAGCCAGACAGCTTTCCTCTGAGCCAACCGCCCTCTCCTCCACGGCAGAAAGCCGCCACGTCTGCTCGGTAATCCTCCCCTCAGCATCGGCAAGGGCAGCACTTAGCTTTTCAGCGCCAACCTTAGCCGACTTGGCATCCTTGAGGAGTTGTTCAATTTGAGCAGCCTGCCCCGCCAGGGTAGAATCCCTGGCAGCTACGTCCTCCATTGCTCGGGCGAGGGCCCCCTCCGCCTCTTCCTTCTGCTCTCGGGCCCGCTGGAGGTCCATCCTAGACCCATGGTACCGCGCAGCTATTATGGAGATCTGTTGGGTAGCCTGCAAAGGAGGGAAAAAGGCGTGTCACAAAAATGGAAAGCGAGAGAGAAGAAACCAAAGCAAAAATGAACTTACCACCAGGGAATTCTGGATGATAGAGCGGAACAGCACGTTCGTTGATCGCCCCCTGTGAGCCGCCATGTCAGCCTCGAAATGCAGTGTCTCACTCACTGCATTGGCGACATGAGGATCCAGCAAAATGGAATCATCGACCTTGATCACTCGGCTCATGTGATCGGTGGCTCGGGGATTCCACTCCGCGGCTTCCACTGTCGGCGGAATGGAAGGGGGAGTCTGCTGCTGCTGTTGTTGCTGTTGTCGTTGCTGTTGCTGTTGCGGAGGAGCAGGGGGTAACCCACGGCCTCTCCCGCTTTGCTGCTGAGCGGGAGATGCCTTGGATCCTCTGCCAAGGCCATCGTGCCTATGCTTGACCCTTCTCTCCTCCTCTACCAGAGGATCTCGGTCACGCACTTGGCCCCGACTGAGAACTTTTGAGGATGGGGTGGAACTGGTCCCGCAGATGGGGCGCCGCCGGTCGATCCTCGACCTCTCCCGGCAGCAAGGGCTTGCCTCTGCCTCAGGAATCCCAGGTCAATGCGAGGCGTGCTAGACATCGCGATCTCGAGGGCGTCCTCGGCGTCTAGAGATTGTAGAACTTGGAAGTCCGGCCACAAATCTCCTCCCGAAGTCCCCACCTCGGCGTCCGAAGGAACAAAGTCCTCTCTGACCCCGAGCTCTTCAACTACTCCCTCTACTTCTGCCTCGAAGCCCGATCAGGGTCTTCTTCCAAGTTTTCCTCGACCTCTAGCCTCGCCGCCTGATCGAAGAGTTCAGACCACCGCGAAGGCTCAAAAGGCTGAGGAAGCTGTGAAAATTTCTTATACCCGGGGTATAATTCAGCAGGATGTGGGCAGCCCGGCCGAACCCGTTGTCACCAGTAAATCTCCAAACCGCGATTAGGTCGGCAAAGTTCACCAGCGACCGAGGGGAGGAGCTGTTTCCCGAGCAGGAATATCTGCACAAACAAAAAAGTAGTCATGAACATGGAAATCTGGAGAACAAAATAATAAACCCGAAGGAACCGACGAACTTGTCGTTCTCCATTCCAGAGGGCATAACAAGTCGTTATACTCGGGACCCACACCTCTCTGCAAGATCCCTTGAAAATAAGAATATCGTCCTTGTACCCCTTGTCCGAGTCGGGAAGATGAGTTACAAGGTACATGGAGGGGTCCCTGGCTTTGAGGTAGAAGTGTTGGTGAGGCATGACTCTCAGGAGGG